AGGCAGAATACAGTCTTTCACTAAGTATGATGTCAACTTATGGTTTTTTTTTTTGTAGATTTCCTTTATCAGGTTAAGGGAATTCTACTTCTATTCTTAGTTTGCTGAGAACTTTTATCATGAATGGGTGCTGGATTTTCTCAAATGCTTTTTCGGCACCTATTGATATGATCGTATGGTTTTGCTTTCTCTTAGTTTGTTAATATGGTGAATTACATGGATTGGTTTTTGCATATTAAACCAACCCTCCATTAGCTGAGATAAACCCCAATTGGTCATAATGTTTTTCTTTTTAATACAGTTTGATTTGATATGCTAAAATTTTGTGAGAATTTTTGCCTTTACATTCATGAAGAATATTGGTTTGTAACTTTCTTTTCTTGTAATGTCATTGTCTGGCTTTGATATCAGGGTAATGCTTTGCAATGGTTGTGTGAGAGTGAAGCTGATGAGTAAACCCTGGCTGGTAAAAGGGGTCAGAAAGTTTTGTGGCCCCTGACAGAGAGCAATCTGTAAGGTTTTGGTGTCAGGAGCTTATGAAACCTTAAACATTTGTAGAGGACCTCAATGAGTTTTTGTTTATATGGATTATATGTACCGATACTTGCCATATTAGATGTTAAAATTGTATGGAACGTTAGAAGGTGATGAGTACACTGAAAAAAAAAATGAATGCAGGGGGAGGCTCAGGAAGGCGGAGGACTACTCTGTCCAACAACTTGGGGCTTTACTGCGGCTCTACTTCATTTCTCACAGGCTTGGCTGTTTTTCACCCCTAAAACTGATTATGTGTCTTATTAAAAATGAAACAGAATTTCTGTAAAATAAAAAAAGTTCTAGTCAGATTCAAAGATTTGCAAAACCAGAAGTGCCAAAATGAGAGTCCAAAGTGGTATTCTGAAGAGGGAGCATAAGCACACGTCTTTTATACACAATTTTGCAGAACTTTGCACAGCTTTGGGAAGAGTATGGGGGTACATTTGATTGGCTGACACTCAACATGCTCTGGTAAAACTCACATATCAAGAATTTCTGTTGGCTGGAGTACTCAAACTTAGCTACGGTTTCCTGCGTTCTGGAGCTCATTCCTTCAGTTTCCTGCAACATTCGGGGTGGGCCACCTCAGAATGTTGCAGAATAAGTTATCTTGGTCAAGACTGTGGTCAAAGTCACGTACTCTAAAAAGCAGAAGCACAGACCTAGGACAAAGTGGAGTCTGCTTCAGACCTGTGGAGGCCATTTTAATTATGTCAATCACCTTGGGTTTTTTTTTTAATTGTACTTTAGATGAAGGTTTACACAGCAAATTAGTTTCTCGTTAAACAGTTAATACACATATTATCTTGTCACATTGGTTGCCAACCCCACGACATGTCACTACTCTCCCCTTCTGTACCTTTGGTTCCCCATTACCAGCTTTCCTGTCCTCTCCTGCCTTCTTGTCCTTGGCCCTGGGCTGGTGCCCATTTGGTTTCCTTTTGTTTTATAGGTCTGTCTAATCTGTGGCTGAAGGGTGAACCTCAGGAGTGACTTTAGTACTGAGTTAAAAGGGTGTCCGGGGCCATACTCTTGGGGTTTCCCCAGTCTCTGTGAGACAAGTCTGGTTTTTTTTGTGAGTTAGAATTTTGTTCTACATTTTTCTCCAAGTGCCTCAGTTTTTGAGCACTCTTTCACAGTCTCTGGAGCCCTGGTGGTGCAGTGGTTAAGAGCTTGGTTGCTAACCAGAAGGTCAGCAGTTTGAATCCACCAGCCGCTCCTTGAAAACCCTATAAGGCAGTTCTACTCTGTCCTATAGGGTCACTATGAGTTGGAATTGATTCGACGGCAACGTGTTTTGGGTTTTTTTTCAGTCTCTACCTGGAATACTCTTCTTATCTGTTACTCATTCTCAAGTCACAAATCATCACCTCAATAACATTCAACCAACGTTTACTAAAAATTTATTCCATGCTGGTTACCCATGAGACTTTATCTGTGCCCTACCTGTACTTAGCAATAGCTCTCATTCATGCTAAATTTAGACATTTTAATAACAAAGGTCATCGTGATCATCTTTTGCACACATTGTTGGTAATACTCCTAACTTTCAGAGATAACCAAAAAAACCAATAGCCGTACGGGACCCGTTGCCCTCGAGTCGATTCTGACTCACAGTGACCCTGTAGGACAGAGTAGAACTGCCCCATAGGGTTTCCAAGGAGCGGCTGGTGGATTCAAACTGCTGACCTTCTGGCTATTGTTGTTAGGTGCCGTCAAGTCGGTTCCGACTCATAGCGACCCTGTGTGCCACAGAATGAAACACTGCCTGGACCTGCGCCATGCTCACAATTGTTGTTATTCTTGAGCCGATTGTTGCAGCTACCGTGTCAATCCATCTTGTTGAGGGTATTCCTCTTTTTCGCTGACCCTGTACTTTCCCAAGCGTGATGTCCTTCTCCAGGGACTAATCCCTCCTGACAACATGTCCGAAGTATGTAAGATGTAGTCTTGCCATCCTTCCTTCCAAGGAGCATTCTGGTTGTACTTCTTCCAAGACAGATTTGTTCGTTGTTTTGGCCGCCCATGGTATATTCAATATTCCTCACCAACACCACAATTCAAAGGCGTCAATTCTTGTTCGGTCTTCCTTATTCATTGTCTGGCTTTCACATGACTATGATGTAATTGAAAATACCATGGCGTGGGTCAGGCGCACCTTAGTCTTTGCTTTTCAATACTTTAAAGAGGCCTTTGCAGCAGATTTGCCCAATGCAATGCATCTTTTGATTTCCTGACTGCTGCTTCCATGGGTGTTTATTGCAGATCCAAATAACATGAAATCCTTGACAACTTCAATCTTTTGGTTAGCAGCTGTAATTCTTAACCATAGCACCTCCAGGGCTCCAGCTTTTAGAGGTAAGTGTTACAAATCCTAATTCAACAAATGAGAAAAGGCACTCTCAGGTGATGCTTAAAATCCACTTTAGATTTTTGGAAGAAAGTGATCTTGCAGACTCCTGCTGGAATTTTAAAAGTCACAATCTTTGTTTTGAGTTGGCATGGAGCGACACGTTGCAGGATTTGAAAACTAAATTTTGGACTTGGATAAAATCAGTTAATACATAAAAAGTGGTGTTTAGAACATGTTTGGCAATGTTAAAACACAAATCATATTAAGCCAAACATGCAAATTGATTGAAGTTTATTTAATATACGATTTACGAATCGGGGTCAGATTTCAACTAAACCAAAAAAACCAAACCCATTGCTGTCGAGTCGATTCCAACTCATAGCGATCCTACAGGACAGAGCAGAACTGCCCCATAGGGTTTCCAAGGAGTGGCTGGTGGATTCGAACTGCCAACCTTTTGGTTAGCAGTTGAGCTCTTAACCACTGTGCTACCAGGGCTCCATTTCAACTAGGTGTCAAGAATGTTCCCAAGATAAAAGAACTTCCAAAAATTCTTATACTCCACCTCATTCACACTGCCATGTAAAAAGGCTGGAGAACAGTGTTTACACGATAACAATTTACCCTAAAACACAGCTTCCAGTTAGACTATGGAGTTTGTTTCCGGAAAATGACTGAATTCTTCAAAGCGGCACAATGACTAAGGGAAAATGGTCTACTTACTAGGCTACTGTTCAACTTAAACGTGACTTTTAGGAGACCAGTCTGCTCAAGGTTCAAAAAAAATCACCTTCAGGGCAATGGCCTTGGGTGGGTCACCCCAACTTCATGGACCCCACAAATCTGGATTCTAGGACAATTAAAAATTGTTTATCAGCAGGTACTAAGATTCAATAAATATTAATCCTTATTCTCATCTCTTTTTGTGGATTATGAGATTCTATTGCCTATATTTTTGGGTCACCATCTCAGAAGCACACAGGCAAAAAAATGTCCTCTCTTTGGGAAAGTTTCTAAAATTGAACCTTTCAAGCCTCTTACAGCAGAGGATTGTAGGAGTCAAGTTAGATAAGGTGTTTAAAGCCCCCAGCAACTATCATTAAATGGAATCCACAGGAAGGGTAACTAACAACAGCCGATAATAGCAGTGACGAAGACAAGGGATTTAGATCCCAGCTTCAGCACTTACTAGCTGCATATAACCTTAGGCAAGTCAATTATTATTTCTGTACCACAGTTACTTCCTGTATAAAATAACAATAGCATCCACCGCACAGGATTATAATGAGGATTACAAACGATCCTTCCTGTAGTTGCTTAGAACGTCTGGCACAAAGCAAACAGGAAACATTCATAAGCGCTTATCATTTAGTTGATAAGGTATCATTCATTTGGCGTGTGCACCATACACACATTTTTGGATTTAGTTTTTGTACGTATTTGTATTTGGACAGCATGATATACGCAGTAACTGAGAACAAGAAACCGTTACAAAGGTTGCCTTAAGCAGGGGGACTTGGGTGAAGTAGGTTTAACTGAGTGGAAGAAAAATTTGCATCCCACCACACACGTTTAAATAACTTATTTACCTTCAGGTAATACAATCTCACAGAGCGCTCATTTTAAAATAGAACAAAATGTGCAGAGAGAAAACGCTCGCTCCCAATCCATCCCTTATTCACAAACTCACCTCACACTTTTTATTTTCCCATGTATTCGTTGAAAATAAAAGTGCTTATTATTTATGTCCCTATTTTTACAGTCTTCTGCACCTTTTTCTTTTTTTTAAGGCATTCTCGTTTGTAGTGCAGCATTTCCCCCATCTGTTGTTGTATAAAATAAATACACAACTTAACCGCCTCACTCTCGCGCCCTCCCCAAGCTGCCCAGTCTTCCCCGAGGCCCACGTGTTCCGAGGGCCCCTTTCGTGATTGTCCCCGGCGTTGCCTGTCCAGAGGCCGCCGACGGAAACTCGGCCCGCCCTCCCCTGCCCTGTCTTCTGGGCGGGCGCAGGCCCCGGCTCGGCACTCGGCGGCGGCGCCTCAGGCAGCGCGGCGGGCAGCCCGGTCTCCGGCGCGTCGCGGACCTCGGAGGACCCCGGCGACGGCCGTGGCGTAGGGCCAGGTGGACGCGCCTACGGCGACGGCGGGCGCTGCGATTGACTGCGTTTCTTGTGCCCGGGGCTCGCTACTCTGGCCTCCCTCCCTGCCCTGGCTGACTGCTGTGCCACCGACGCCATGTCTGTGAGCGAGATCTTTGTGGAGCTGCAGGGCTTCCTGGCTGCCGAGCAGGACATCCGAGAGGCGAGCCCCCTTCTTTCCATCCCCTTGTCTTTTCCTTGCCTCGCCGGGCCACCTCCTCCCTCAGTCTCGGGCGGTGGGGACGCTCCCGGGGCCCTCTTGTTAACGGCTTAGGGTGCTCCACGCCCGATGCTCCTCCTCTGGTCCCGAGCCCCTTTGCCCGACTCGGCTCCTCAGCATCAACTGCCTCATTTGAATGTTAGTTTTCTCCTTTTCAGCACTTGTTTTTGTCCAAGGCTCGGTTAGCGCCTGGGACTCATTTAACGTGTGATTCGTGTATTTGTTTTCATCTCTTAAAAGCACATGTGATTCCTATGGTTTCTCGTACAGCATAGGGTAAAAGTCCAGACTGTATTGTGGTTTACAAGATCTCTCCCTCTCTCACCAGCCTCATTTTACGCTACTCTTTTTTTGTATATTGTGTTCAATTTAACCTTTTTGTTCCTTCAATGCCCCAAATAGTTTCCTGCCCCAGGACTCTTGCATATTCTGTTTGCTCTTCCTGGAATGCGCTGTCCCCAGTCTTTCCCTGGTTATCTCATATTCATCTTCTTCATCTCTAAGTCTAAATTATACCTTCCCTGTTGTGTTTCCTCGTAGCACTTTAAATTTTTTCTCATCTGCCCGATGATGATTTTTGTTTAACTCTTCTCTCCCGTACTATAAACTGCAGGAGGGAAGGGACTGTTTGCTTGATTCGCAGCATTTACGTGGCGCATAGTGAATATTTGCCAAATGAATGGATGAAAAATACTTAAAACTTGTATTGCTTGTAATTGTGCACGAATTATATTCACATACGTCATTTCTTTTAATTTTTATAGTGCCCCTGTGGGATAATTGGGAGGGAGTGGGTGGCTGTTTGAAGTCTACAGATGAGGAATCTAAGACTTTTTAATGCCTGGTTCAGTCAAGGTTCTCACAGAGGAAGTACGTGAAAGAGTCAGGGTTCACACTGTGTACGAAGTGCAGTGCTAGTGAAGATCATTCGTGTTTTGAACGTACATGAAGGTGTGATAGGTCAGTTAGGATGTCTGGTGTATTTGGTTTAAGGCTGTGACTATAATTATGTTGAATTTAACTCATATTTTGATTTTTAATTCTCTCTAGGAAATCCGAAAAGTTGTACAGAGTTTAGAGCAAACAGCTCGAGAGATTTTAACTCTACTTCAAGGGGTCCATCAGGGTGCTGGGTTTCAGGACAGTAAGTTCTTTGATTTTTACCCGATTTATCACTCCTAGTTAGAAAGTTAATTTCCCTCCGGAAGACATACCAAGTCTGTTTTATTTTATTATGAAAAATGTCTACCGTGTTTTATGATGTGTAAAAATTGGAGAAGTAAATGAGCTGATCATTTTAAAGATTTATAGTATCCTGTTATGTTTTAATTAATTTTCCACTTCTACATCTAAGTGCAGTTTAAATGGGGATGTTTAGTGTGATGGAATTCTACTGATGATAATTGTTAAGTAGCTCTTTTGTGTATTTAGCAGCTTTTATTTGGCTTTTTTTTTTTTCTTTTTTAAATCCAGTGTTTCAGTGACTGAATACAGTTTAAGATGCATTTGTAGATTGACGATGGTCAATATAAAATGTTCTTAGATCAGAGTGTTTACAGTCAGCCCCTTGAATGAAAATCAGGTGTGTTAAGTTTAGACATGGAACCTCCATTTATGATGTAGCCAGCACAGCTAAAATAGTTGAAATGTGTTTTCGGGTAGAGGTTGACATAATCATGTAACTTACCGGTGTCAGAGGTAAGATTTTTTGTTGCTGTTGGTAAAGCCGTAGAGTCAGCCGCTGACTCGTGGTGACCACATGCACAAGGAATGAGATTGCTGACCAGTCCTGAGCCATTTTTGGAGCAGCCGGCTGGGATCCAGAGGGTTTTCACTGGCTCTGTGCTGTTTGCCTCAGGGATATAGAGTTGGTCAGGGTCAGCCTGATCAAGAGTTACTGATTGAGGCTCTTTTTGACCAAATCATCGGAGCTAGAAGCAGTCTTAATTTCTAGGTGTCCTGGGAAGACTGGGTGGTAGCAGCAGCTGATACACAGCCCTTTAGGGTTGAGGTGATTTCAGACAACTTACCAGTGTCTTTCCGTACATATCTCGTTCAGCAGGTTTTTGTTTATTTTCAGCATTAGTTAATCAGTAGGGAAATTAAAGATGATATTTTGAGATAAGAAAGCTGTGTACCCTACATACGGATATGAAATAAAAGTTGATTTGTTTCTAGGTAGACTACATAGATTATTAAGCCAGAACGGTATTTGAAATTTGCTAAGTCTTTGAATATTATGTTTGATTATTTTTTTGTGATCAGTTCCAAAGAGGTGCTTGAAAGCTCGAGAACATTTTGGTACAGTAAAAACACATCTCACGTCTCTGAAGACCAAGTTCCCTGCTGAACAGTACTACAGGTGTGTAAGAAAAGGAGCATTATTATATTATGTTAGTTAAAAAAAAAAAAAAAAAAGGCAGGAGAAAAATTATATGCACTGAGTGATTACTTACAACTAGGTAAAAATTTTCTACACAGAAGAGACAACAGAATGGATCAAAATGTTAATAGTGGTGGTATTTTAGTGGTGACAAAATCAGTGATTTGGGTTTTTTCGCCTTTGTACTTCTAAAATTTTATTAAGGAATTATTAATTTTGCAATAAGAGATAAATGCTGTATGGAGGTCAAAATAGAGAATATCTCTTTGCTTTATTCACATTATTGGTGAAGTTGAATGACCAATTGCTGTGCTGTTAGGTTGTGGGATATGTGGCAGAGTATATGTGGAGTTAAGTTTCACCTCAAAGCTTGAATTTTGCTGCCAGGTGACTATTTAGCTAATATTTTATGCCATGATTTGTTGAATCTGCAACACCATTAATTTTAAGGTACACCATTATTTTATGTATCACTAAGAAAGAGAAAAAATATTGCCAGTTACAATTGTGAAACATAGATTATAAAAGGTATCCTGATTTCAGAGATGTTAAACTGAAGAACTCTAAGTTTTAATTGATGGAATATGATAAATAAGAATTTCTACTTAATTTAGTTTCTTACTAAAAAAAGATGTTTATTAAGGTGTGTTTTTAGGTAATATATAGGATGTATAGTATAACAAATAGTATCGTGGGTGTATAGTGTAACTTAAGAAGATTCTTTAACACAGGGGTCAGCAAACTACTGGTGGCCTGCTGCCTCCAGGAGCTAAGAATTGCTTTTATATTTTAAAAAGTTGTTAAAAAAGAAAAACACGCAAAGAAGACTATGTGACAAAGACTGAAAGTGGCCTGCAGAGACAAATATTTACTGATCCTTTACAGAAACTGTTTGCTAACCCCTGCTGTAAGGTAGTACGTGAGGCACAGAGGAGCAGTACAGTAGAATTGAAAGGCTCTTCAGAGACCATCTAACCTGGAGGTCACACACAGGCTGCCCTTGGGCTGGATTGGGCCCTCAGAAGGCTTCGTTGAAAACATTTTTGAATTTGTCACTACATTTGAAAATCTGCATAGCTTAACTGTTGAGTGGTTGTAAAATTTCCTACTGTTCCTTTTTCAGGCTTCTAGCTCAGTTTACCTACAGTATTCTGAGGTTTTAAGTCCATCTGTTTAGTGATTGCAAGTAGTAATTGTTTCTTGTATGTGTGAATCCAGATTTTCTTGATACCATACACTCATATCAAAATGTAAGAAGAAGTTAGATGGTTGAGACTAATGTGTAATTACAGTTGTCACCCGTAACCTTCAGTTGCAGATTTTTAGTTCTGTCAGAGCGTCATCATTCTTATTGATTAAGCTTCTAACCCACGGTCTGTGATCTTTAACTGTTTCATGTCTGGCGGTGCATATTGTGACCATGAACTTTTTCAGCTTCTGGGGCTTATTGGTGACGCAGCGGTTAAGAACTCACCTGCTAACCAAAAGGCAGCTCGAATCCACCAGCCGCTCCTTGGAAACCTTAGGGGGCAGGCAGTTCTACTCTGTCCTGTAGGGTTGCTGTGAGTCAGAATTGACAGCAGTGGATTTGTTTTTTTTTTTGGTGGGGGCTGTACCACTGACAGTGCTTGGTGCCACAAGGCAGGGGCCTGTTTGACTGTTTGAAACTGAAGAAGTGGGCATGTGCTGTAAATTACTGTTTTTATAGGATATTGTATAAGGTGTGTGAAGTTTTGGTAGGAAAAATAAGAAATTTTGAGAATTTTTATTTATTACATGTATGTACCAATAGGACCCCAGTGGGGACTCTGGGGTATAATTAGTGGTACTTCTTATGTACCACCAAACACTTAGGGTAGACTTATGGGAGGGGCAAGAAAAAAAATCCATACTACATACCAAAAATTCAGACACACTCCGATTCAGCATGCTTCCATTAATGAAAACACACAGTATCAACAAAACATTCAAAGCAGAAAAGAATTGAGTCACCAAAGAGTTAATTGTAAGATTTTGTATGCACCAAAATTGTATCATGCTTTTCACTGATGAAACTTATAATTATTATAAATTTGAACTTGTAAAATTTGTACTAAATTCTTGTAATATAGTTGAATCTCATATTGCTCTTATATGTTTTGTATATTGGGGTTTCACGTGACATTTTATTTGAAAGAAGATTTTCTAAGCCTGTCTTCCCCAAGGCCGCCAACCCCTAATCTCTCGGCCTGAACATGCTTGCTTACGTTAATACAGATTTCACGAGCACTGGAGGTTTGTGCTGCAGCGCTTGGTCTTCTTGGCAGCTTTTGTTGTGTATCTGGAATCAGAAACGCTAGTGACTCGAGAAGCGGTTACGGAAATTCTTGGCAGTAAGTGTCCTTGTTAGTGGTGATCTGAGTATCATGCTTGGAAGCTTACTTTTTGGTGGGACGGGCTGTTACTTGTACTTTTCATTAAAACAAAAGATGAGAACACAAAAACTGAAAATACCTAGTGACTTGCTCTTTTTACTTGGGTATGGTTTGCCAGTGTTTTTTTTCTTTGCACCTTTTAGTTTTTTAAAATTTTAAGCCCACAGAAAAGTTGGGAGAATAATATGATGGATACTTGTTAGCACTCTACTGAGATTCACGACTCGTTAGCATTTTGCCACATCTGCTTAGTTTCTTTTTCACACTATTGTGTGTGTGGACATACGTAAACCGTTTGAAAGTAGCAGACATCAGGACTTCTTCCTTAACACTTAAGCATACCCTGAAAACAGTGACATTCTCTGACCTAGCAGCAGCGCCTTGCTGGTATTCCTTTTTGAGAGAAGAATGGAAGAAGGGTTGAGTTTTGCTTACAGAGGTCTAGTTGCCAAGGGTCTAAAAACTTGGAAGAAACCAGTTGGGAAGATTGATCTTTTTTTTTTTTTAAACTTACTTTGAGAAAAATATTTAAATCTAGGTTTAGATCTTAGTTCTAAATTCCATTCACATGATAATATTAACATGATATATTTTTCAGTTGAGCCAGATCGGGAGAAAGGATTTCATCTGGATGTAGAAGATTATCTTTCAGGAGTTCTAATTCTTGCTAGTGAACTGGTAAGAAACTTAGTAAATTGCTTTTTTCTTTTCGATCTTTCCATTTCTCTGTCCGTTTCGTAGATGAGTACAAACATTTAGGAAGTCTGCAGTGATTTCCCTAGCCGTCTCGCAGTCACCGGGCAGTCAGGACTGTGTACGCCGTGTTGCGTCTGGCTAGGCATCAGAGAAATGCCCGGGTAAAATGATGAGGTAGCTATGGGTGCTTACTCACCTGTGAACATTTAAAAGGTAATAATACCCCTTCTCTTCAGTGTAGTGACAGGGTAGATCCATTGCTGATAGCTGTGTTAATTCACATAATAGTTTTGGAGGAAAATTTTATTATCTAAGTGTATAAGTTGTTTGTGCTTGGTAAAGTAGAGGGTCAGCGAAAGAGAGGAAGACCCTCAGCGAGATGGTTTGACACGCTGACTGCCACAGTGGGCTCACGTGTAATGATTATGAGGATGGCCCGGGACCGGGCAGTGTTCCGTTCTGTTGTACACAGGGTGGTTATGAGTCGGAACTGACTTGACGGCACCTGACAACATTTTTGCCTTTCATCCTGTTAATCTCCTGGGAAATTGTCCTATAAAAATAAATTCAACAGGAGGAAAAAAAAGGTGTTATTAAGGTGTTCATGATAGCATTATTTATATTTATGAAAAATTGTAGACCACGGAAGGCTTCACAAAAGTGAGATGATTTAGTAAGTTACTAAGTAAACTGGTGATATTAAACAGTTGTTAAAAAGGGTAATTGTGAAGACCAGTATGGAAGTATTAGTGTTCATAATTACGATTGTGTTGCTGTTGGTCCGTGACAGGTTGGAAATAAAAAACCTGGTTCTTCTCCAGGTCTGAGAGACACTGCTGTGGAGCAGGGGTCAGCAAACTGTGGTTTGTACTGACTGGTATTATAAAGTTTTATTGGAACACAGCTGCACCCACACTGTCTGTGGCAGCTTTCGTTCTACAATAGCAGAGTTGAGAAGTCGAGACAGAGACTGTGTAGCCCGTAGAGCTGAACATATTTACTGTCTAGCTCTTTAGGAAAAAGTTTGTCTGTCCTTGCTCTATAAGAAAACTCCAGAGTAATATGAAGCGTTTATTCCTGGTGTTCCTTGATCTTTGGCCCTGGGTCCTGCCAGCCTGTGGCTTCTTTCTGCCATATGTTCCAGGGCTGCCATTATAGCTGTGGTCATTCACATCTTCATTCTTCATTGGTAGGAGGAAACGAGACAAGCGTGCCCCCCCCCCCCGCCCCGGACTTTTCTTTGAAGTTCCACATGTAATTTCTACTTAACATTTCAGTAGCCTGTCTGTAGGACAGAGTCATCTGTGTGGGCATGTTTGTGGCTAAGATGTGAGGAATTCTCCTGAGGAGGATGGGGACAATGGATACTGGGGACAGTGGATGCCAGGGACAGTGGATGCTGGGGACAGGGGGTATCGGGGACAGTAGATGCCGGGGACAGTGGATGCCAGGGATACTGGGTGCCGGGGACAGTGGATACTGGGACCCAGGGGCAGTCTACGCCACTTGCCACAGGCTTTTACCTGGTTGGAGAGACCTAACCAGGAAACTGGCAGCACCTGGTCATGTCGGTGGTCAAGTGTGAGGTGTGTTTAAGGCCATAAGTGGTGGGAATGCGGGAAAGGGTTAGTCTAGGGAACCTGGAAAGAATAGTGGGGAGGATTTTTATGGAGAAGGAAAATCTTGACGTAAACCTTACCTACCCTTCAAGACAGCGTCGTATTGATGTGATTTTGGCTTCTTAGACCATCTCTTTGTGTTACTGCCTTTTGGTGACTGGAGCTGTTGCTCTGTAGGAGAATTCTAGAAATGTAATCACATGGCCTAGATTTGAGGAGATAGCAGAACAGCTGTGATTACTCTGGCCCTTTTTCCTTTTGTACATTGGCAGAAACGAGCTGTGAAGTTGACACGTGAATAAATTTAATGGTATTGCACAACAGTCAGTTTAGTACATTAGGGACATTTCAGAAGCTGTTAACTGCAGAACCTTTGTTTGGCTAAAATTGTCTCATTTTCAGTGGGGTTCTTTCCAGTTGAGAAACTTAGATTTCATCTGTGTTCACACACAGAATGCAGAGAACATCAGGGTAGCTGTGTAGGCCTGAGGTTCTCCTCACAGCTGTGACTGCGATTTGGGGGGAGCACTTTTGTAATGTGTCCCATTTGTCTTGTGCAGTCAAGGCTGTCAGTCAACAGTGTGACTGCTGGAGACTACTCCCGGCCCCTTCACATCTCCACCTTCATCAACGAGCTGGATTCCGGTTTCCGCCTCCTCAACCTGAAGAACGACTCCCTGCGGAAGCGCTATGACGGCTTGAAGTACGATGTGAAGAAAGTGGAAGAGGTGGTCTACGATCTCTCCATCCGTGGTTTCAATAAGGAGACGGCAGCCGCTTGTGTAGACAAGTAGGAGGCCCTGTCCCTGCTCCTGGCCTTGTTTACCTCAGCGGTTGACTCTTACGGTAGTTAGGATGCCCAGTTGCTAAACACCATGCTTTATTTTCCTCACTGGTTGTGTGGTGTATCAGAAGTGAAACGCTTCTTTGGCGGTTAAAAAAAAAAGGACAGAGTTTTCTTTGTTGTTTCAGTGAATTTGCTCTGTAATCCAGTGTGTTTCATTTTCGTCAAGAGGTGTAAATGTCCGTCTCTTGGTAAAGCTCTTTCCTTGCTTATCTTGATGTCCTGATTGAGAAGTTGATCGTCTTGTGTGTGATCCTTCCAGATGTGACCTTTGACATTTTCCATATCCCAGGTTAGCCATCCAGACCCAGGTATAGCCGGGATACAGTATAAAAGTTAAAAAGGCTGGTTGCCAAGTAAAGGCAAGGAATACCTGATTTGATATTCTTCCTTCCTTATTTTAAGCCTTGTGAGTAAATCCGTTGCTGAATTTTTCTGCAAGGGAGTTCTGGCCCCGGGGTTCTGTTTCACTGCCATCAAGATAGAAAAGATTCCAACCGCAAACGCAGGCTCGACAGATTATGCGGAAGTTCTTGTGTTAAAGGATTTGGTAAGGTCTTGTTATTGGCTCTATTTGAAGGAACACGTTGGCAGGTGGGGAGTAGGGCTTAATGTTTTAAAACGCTTCTGCTTTCTCCTGTTGCCTTAACATGCTGCTATTGCAGCAAACTTCTGTTAACCCTAAAAATGGTCTTCACGTACGTCTTGAATTCACACTTAGCCTGATGTATTCCTGAACTATGAAGTCCCCACCCCCACCCCGCATTTTTAGCAGCCAGCTAGACGTTTTGATCTGGATGTGTAAAGCCACCCACATGCGTTAATTAGCAACGCCCTGACTAGTGCGTTCTTAGAGACAAAAGCCATGCTTTGTGTGGAGGAAAAGTATAACCTCTTAATTTATTTTTTTAATTCAGCTTGATTTGGTTTTTTTTTTTTTAAGAGTAAGAAGTTTCAGATTGTTGATGGCTATCCTAACAGAAATATTCACGATTTTGGGCAAGTCATTTAAATTCTGCTGCCCCTCCCCCCAGTTCAGATAGTGCTCAAAATATTGACCAGGTAAGTTGCTGTTGGCTGTTCAGTTGAAATTATTAAGATAGTGACCTAATTCCCAGTCATTTGGAGAAAGGAAGGTGCTAGTACTTCCGGAATCAGAGGTGTGGAGCATTGTCACCTTTTCTCCCCTAATGCTAAGGTGGGCCTCCTGCTCGTACGGGACGGTGTCTGGCATTGCCATCAGAACGTTTTATCTCAGGCCAAAGGAAGGGCTGACTCGCTTCTCCATCCTGAAGAGGGAAGGAAAAATGAGACATTGTTGGATTTTAGAACAATTTTCTTGACAGTTCCTTCTGCGCAAGAGTTTATGGAATGAAAAGAGTGTTGGGTCCCTAAAAGTGCCGAGGATGGTCCCCTGAAATGTGCAGCAGGAGCACTGCTGAAGTGAGCATAAAAGGCTTTTCAGTGACGTAATCTGACAGATGCAGTGAGTTTGGCAATGGTTTTCCTTGCCTCTGTAAACAGTGATTCTGCTGGAGAATAGTCAAGTTCTTGGCAGAAGCTGTGGATCTCGGTTTTAACCCATACATTTTAAGTAGGGGAGCACACTCTGGTCTTGTCACTCTATCTGAGAATTGAGAAATGTCATGTTTATAATTATTCAGCTGTATTTGTTGCTGGCTTGTTGTAAAGCAATAAAGTTTTTTTTGGTCTGTTTGTAACTCATTGTGTTGCTATGAGAACGCCTCTGTATGGAGAATAAATTCTGGATATTTTTTGAGGCTGAAGATGAGCAGGGACGAGGAGCACATTCAGCTGTGTAATAGTTACAACACTAACCAAAAGACACCAGCCCTTCAGAGTTCTTTACTGTAAAGTGCAGGTAATGTTGGCGTGGTCTGCCTCGATGGGGAATTAAAATTCTTTGAAGATGTTGAGAAGACTTGGCTCGGGTTTTGGGATGCCAGATTTATTTATTTATTTTTCAATTTTTAGAAAGTCCAGCTGGTTAGAGAAGGTAGAGGTGAATTAGGGGGTACTTTCTTTATAGATTTATTCAGAAGAAGAGGAAGAGAACAAGTCATAAGAATTTGGTGAGATTTGCCTCATCTTAAGCTTGAATAACAGTATGAGTAAAAGTTTAAGAGACTTCACTAAAGAAGGAAGACTGATTAAGGCAGGTTTTTGGGATTTTAAATAGGTAGCTAAAGAGATGAGGTGAACCTGCAGGTTGCTGCTGGTGTGGTTTTATAATTGGGTACTCAGAACTTCTTTCTTTGTCTGGATTAAACCATTTGTCCTTCTTTTCAGATAGAGCATTGCTGTCATCCCTGACACCAAAATAAGACTTCCCCTGAAATAATTTATATCCTTAGTATTCACCGTAATAAGCAGACAGCAGCCCCCACCAAACAATAACGTTTAAGGGAGGCAAAATTGGCAAGTGTAGTGATCTGACTGCCCGCATTGCACATGCGGACAGGCTGGGCCTCAAACTTCCAGCCAGCCTTAAGACTGCTAGGAACGAGGCATGTACACCCACAGGCATCAGCCATTCCATGGGTGCTACGTTCATCTGTGATGGAGCCAAACACACAAGACACACTGTTGGCAAAGTGAAAGCTGTTACTATTATTCATAGAAAGCCAACAGTAAACGGTAACATTGGATTCTCAAAGAGGAAATGCTGGCCCTTCCCCAAATTACCGATGTCCATTCTTACGTCTTTGGGCTGGCATGCCATGGTTCAGGTCATATGCTGTCCTCATGTCACTGCTGTCTCTGCTGCCACCACACTGCCCTGGTTCTTTCTGCTGATGGGCTTCAGTGGGCCTTGCCTCACTGACTGGAAGACCCCTGTACAGGACCTTCTAAGCTTCTGCTGCTGGGCCCTTCTAGGCCCCACCACTGGCTCCTGCCATGCCGCCTAGGGGTGTGGGAGGAGGGGAGAGGCACACTCAGGCCTCTGTTCTGCACCAGCAAGTGTTACAGCTCTTTAGCAACAGGCAAACCTCCTGTATGGAGGTGCCCAGCTCGCTCGCTGTCTGGGTTGGCAAGCCCACTGCAGCCAACTTTCTGTGGGCTGACCAGCCCACTGCCACTCAATCGTTAGTTTTACAGCCCCTTCGTCTGGGTCTAGGAGCTCCTTAGCGTAGGGATCCTGGGTCCAAAGGACGTGCTCCGCTGCAGACTCTTCTTGATGGTAGTGAACCCAAAACCGAACCACTCGATTTGACTTGGCGACCCTATAGGACAGAGTAGAACTGCCCCATAGTGTTTCCAAGGAGCGTCTGGTGGGTTTGAACTGCTGACCTTTTGATTAGCAGCTGATCTCTGTGGGATTAGCCCGTATATAAAACTAGCAGGATGGCAAAACCGACCAATCCCCTAACTGGACTGCAAGGAGCTCAGTCCTTTTGGGTGGATTTCCAGGCCTCTGTTTGCATAGTAGATCAGCCAATCCCTTGCAAGATTGTGGCTCAGCCAGTCATTTTATGGTAGTTACAAGACCATGGCTAAAAGGGCCCTATAAAAGTGATTCATCACACTGCAGCAGAATTGGAAGGTTGAAGGAGGATGGGGTGAGGGAGAGGGAGGAACCTAACATAACTACAGGGTTTCTAACTTGGATAATGTCTTAGTTTCCTAGTGCTGCCATGACGACACAAGTGGGTGGCTTTAAAGAATAGAAATTTATTTTCTCAGTTCAGGACACTAGAAATCCAATTCAGGGCAGCGGCTCTAGGGAAAGGCTCTCTTTTGTCTCTGGGGGAAGATTTCTTTCAGTTGCTGTAGCCTTGGCATTTCTTGGTTTCTTGGTGATCACATGACGTCTATCCCTGCCCCCTATCCTGTTTGTGTTTGCTTGCCCCTGTGCCTAATTGGCTCTTTTCATATCTCAAAAGTAATTAGGTTTAAGACATAGCCTTCACTGATGTGGCCTCATAACATAACAAAGAAAACCCTATTCCCAAATGGCATTATGTCCCCAGGTATAGGAGTTAGGATTCTTAAACATTTTGTTGTTGTTATTAGGTGCCATTGAGTTGGTCCTGACTCATAGTGACCCTGTGTACTACGGAAGAAACACTGCCCTGTCTTGCGCCATGCTCGCCATTGTTATGCTTGAGCTCATTGTTGCAGCCACTGTGTCAGTCCATCTTGTTGAGGGTCTGCCTCTTTTTTGCTTACCCTGTACTTTACCAAGCATCATGTCCTTCTCCAGGGACTGATCCCTCTGGATGACATGTCCAAAGTATGTGAGACACAGTCTCACCATCCTTACTTCTAAGGAGCATTCTGGTTGTACTTCTTCCAGGACAGATTCCTTTGTTCTTTTGGCAGTCCATGGTATATTCAGTATTCTAAAACGTTTTGAGGGCACACAATTTAATCCATAACAGATGACTAAGTGGACTTACATGTGGTTACTAAGCAGGAATGTAGGAGGAAATGCATGTCTGGAGGGTGCTGGGCAGATATATTTGCTTTTGGTTTTTTGGATTTATGATGCTTGTGGAGCAGCAGGTGGAGGTGTCCAGCAGGATTTTGGGTATGATGGAAGCTCGGAGCAGACCTGGAGGTGGTTTTGGGTAGTTTTTGCATGTAGGTGATACATAAGTTGAGAGTGGGTAGGATCTCCCATGGAGAGCATGTAGAATGGGAAGAGGAATGAGCAGAGAACAAAACTCATGTTAACAGTGTGGTTTAATGAGTTAGGCAGGGGAAATGAAGTCCATGAGAAGATGGAGAAATGGTCAGAGAGGTTGGCAGAGTACAGGGAGAGTGGTTTGTCACAGAAGCCAAAGGAATAAAGAGGGAGAATTAAATAATTTCAGGGGATTCTGAGAAGATTGCAGGGTAAACAGACCATCATTTTGATCTTCCCCCACAAATACAACAAGAACTGCAACAAGAAAATGGTGCTTGGCTTTGAGGGACTCTGAATAGGGAAACAGGGCAGCAGTGGGGAACTGCTGACAGGCAAGAATCAACAAATCAACAGATCCCATATGGTAGAAAAGTCGCTTCTCCCACTGTCCTTGCCCCTGCCCCCAGCCACGTGGGCTGCTGGCTGCTATGAACTGGGGAAGTGGCCCCAGCAAAAGAACCTGCTTCCCTAACCACCACACCTCCTGCCTGTACAAAGAGACGGGACCCCAAGCTTCTGCTCTAAAATCAACAAGGTGGATCTCCACGGGGGTCTGTTTGGAGTGTGCCAGTAACTCCCCCCGACTCGGACACTGTCGGCTGCAAGCCTACTGTGAATTGCTAAGGAAGTCCATTGCAGTGGAGTCTGCTGCCATAGTCAAAATCTACCTGCCTCCCTGTGCACTGCATAGCTCAGCCCTCTGAAACCAACAGGACAGACCTCCATGGGGGTTAATTTGGGTTAGTCTGCCCCCACTTTCAGTTGGAACTGAGGGCTGCTGACTGAGCTGTTGTGTGCTAGGAAGCAGATGTCTTGAGTGGAGGCTGCACTCACAGCCAACTATCTATTTGGCAGACCTCCATGGGTACTGGACCAGAGCATGACACCCCTCCCCAACCTGGTAGCTGTTTGCTGCTGGACTGATACAAATTCCTACAGAAGGTCCCCAGCAGTGGAACCAGGAGGTGGGTCACCTAAGTGGAGGCTGCTCCCCCAACCACCACAGGGCCACTGGGCTGTGAAACCAACAAGACAGGTATCTCAGAGGTCCTTCTGGAGAGTGCCAGCCTGTCCTCTTCCTGAAACAGAGGAAAGTCAGCCTGTGTTTCTCCTGAATGCCAGCTCAGATATAAGCAGCCCCCACAGAGCGGGGAAGGAAGCCATAGGCAAAACCAGAGAGAATCACTCAGCCCCAAAGGGGGCTTGCTGGATATGGGTTTTCTGACTGAAAACATGGTTCACTTCCCTGACAAGGGAAGGGAGTAATAACCAGAGAGAGAAGACTGTGCCTTCTGGCAGATAGATTGATTATTGTGCAATATCTCACCTGAGTGGCAGTGCCAAGTGGTGGACAGATTGACAACAGCTTGTTCTCTGATGTGTTTGGGAGACACTGAAGTTGAAGACCGAGGTCTGGAACATTCAAAATGTTATTAAACCAGGGCAGGAGAAGGAGCTATCAAAGAGAGGGACAGGGAATAGTAAGCAAAGGCCAAACCTTGCCCACCTAAAAGTTTTTGCAGAAAGTAATGTGGGCAAAAACAGCAAATACTGGGGAAAACAGAAAATTTACACCCTTGAAAATTTGAATGCCCCAACAAAAAATCACAAGACGTACAAAGAAAAGAGAAATGGTGGCCTGTCCTAATGAAAATGAAGGGAGTGAAAGTACATACATGGAAGACTGAAGAATGAAAAAAGTGGAAGAATATAATACAACAACATTAAATAATCAGAGTTAAGGGAAAACATAGACAAAGAACTAATAGAAATAAAACAATGCAAGAAGAAAATGAGGATCTAGAAAAGAAATAAAAAGAAACCAAACAAATATTGCAACTGAAAGGGACAATAAATAAAATAAGAAACAACAGATATAATCAGGCAAAAGAAAGAATAAGCAAATTAGAGGATAAGATAGTCAAAATTACAGAGGCTGAAGAGCAACAAGAGCAGAGGCTCAAGAAGGCTGAGCACAGTTTAATGGAATTATAGGAAGACCAATAGAGACCTAATATATGCATCATGGGAATTCCCAGAGGAAGATGAGAGAGAAGGGGACAGAATGACAGAGATAATGACAGAAAATTTCCCTGATCTGATGAAGGAAATGAATCTACAAATCCAAGAAGCTCGAAGAACCTGAAGCAGGATAAACCCAAAGAGATCTACACCAAGACTCAAAAAGTATGGATAAAGAGAGAACACTGAAAACAGTGAGAGAAGCAGTCACGTACAAAGGTACTCAATAACAGTAAGTGTTGATTTCTACTCAGAAACATTGGAGGCTAGAAGGCAGTGGAATGATATATTTCATGTGCTGAAACAAACAACCTGTCAATCAAGAATATTATACCCAGTGAAACTGCCCTTCAAGAGTGAGGGTGAAATGAAAACATTCCCAGACAAACAGAAACTGAGAGTGTTCATATCCACCTGACTGACCCTACAAAAAAGACTAATGAGAGTTCTGCAGGTGAAAGTGATTCAAAGCCATACATAAGAAGAAAGATACCTAGTAAAGGAAATTCATGGACAAATGTGAGGGCTAATAATAGAAGTATTCAAGCTTGACAATTCTAATTGTCCCCCCCCCCTTTTTTTTTAAAAAAACAAATACATAAAAAACAAAGATAAAATTATGTTACAGGACACATGAAATATAAACATGTTATTAGTGATAACAACAATGAAAAGGTATAGGGGGTGAGGAATGGTATAGATGTAAAATTTCTCATATGATACTGTGGTTAAATTGGTACCAACTTGCCGTCTATTCGGTTCCGACTCATAGTGACTGTATAAGACAGAGTAGAACTGCCCCAAAGGTTTCCAAGGCTGTAATCTTTATGGAAGTAGACTGCCACATCTTTCTCCCTGGAGTGGCTGGTGGGTTTGAACAACCAGCCTTTCGGTCAACAGCTGTGGATTTAACCACTACACCACCAGAGCTCCTAACTTACCCTAACCCATTGCTGTCGAGTTGAATCTGACTCATAGCGACCCTATAGGACAGAGTAGAACTGCCCCGGAGGATTTCCAAGGAGCGGCTGGTAGATTTGAGCTTCCAACCTTTTGGTTAGCACCCAAGCTCTCTTTTTTTTCGTGTATCTTTTTGAAGTCTCACATGGGAAATTTTCCTTAGCTGCATCTTCTCCAGGGAAACTGGTACGATTTTTTTTTTTTGTATTGTACTTTAGATAAAGGTTTACAGAATAGTTCCTCATTCAACAGTACACACACTGTCTTATGACAATGGTTCACAACCCCATGACATGTCAACACTGTCCCTTCTCAGCCTTGGGTTCCTTATTACCAGCTTTCCTGTCCCCTCCTGCCTTCTAGTCCTTGCCCCTGGGCTGTTGTGCCCCATTAGTCTCGTTTTTTTTTTATGGGGCTGTCTAATCTTTGGCTGAAGGGTGAACGTTGGGAGTGACTTCATTACTGAGCTAAAAGTGTGTCTGGGGGCCATGCTCTCAGAGTTTCTCCAGTCTCTGTCAGGCCAGTAAGTCTGGTCTCTTTTTTTAAAAAATTTTTTTATTGTACTTCAGATGAAGGTTTACCGAACAAATAGTTTCTCATTAAATAGTACATATATTGTTATATTACATTGGTCAACACTCTTCCTTCTCGACCTTGAGGACCTTTTTTTTGGTGAAAATATACATAGCCAAAGTTACACCATTTTTAAAGTTTCTACATGTACAATTCCGTAACA